TTCAAATTTAATCCCATCCATTATGCAGTGACCCACTTGTAACCTACTCTACAGCAGAGAGATACCCACTTGCTCGCCTTTTTTATTTGTAGATAGAACAGATGAAAAAGTATATTCATCAAACGAACACGATTTAATATATTATGACGAATTAATATCAATTATAATGGATTATCAAGTAATTATGAAGTAAGAGCTAATTTAATTGTTTTTATAAAAATATTATCATACAATTTTGTAACAATACAGTTGTAAAATGAATCATAATTAACTAAATATGCATGAAAATATTTATTTTCTGAGTTTACAGCCTTAGTATAGTATGAGTATGGAGACATAACGCATATTTTATTCTATTTAATACGAGCTTAGACTAAAGTACAGTTATAAGTAATACCTAGGTATAAACTATAAATGCATAATAAGTATATTATAAAATATTAAAATATATGAGATATATAATATAGATCTATAATATTATATAGATTAAAGTTTAAGCCTCATTACAGTATTATTTAATTTGAAAGCCTTTTACCTCTGGCTTTTTATAAGTTTCATATAAGTGTAAGACAGTTGATATATTAATAAAATGAATACATTTTAATTACTTAGATATCCTCAGTTTGGTTAAATTAAGAGGACTCCGCACCCGCATGTGTTGTCTCCGTGTTACAAACGGGTTACATACCAAATTTACGCTCAGCAGTTCAAGTTTTATGCCGTTAGCAGAAATTTTTTTACGATAATTCAGTTTTTAAGTGAGATATGCGTGTATAATAAATGTAAATTAAAAATGCCCATAACTCACTTAAGAACTGAATTATCGAAAAAAAATGTCCATCAAAACACAGATAATATTCTTACCATCAAGTTTCATAATAGATCGATTCACTCTAATTTTTAAGCTAACGGTATAACACGTGAACTACTGAACGTAAATTTGGTATCTTACGCGTTTGTAATACGGAGACAACACATGCGGGTGGGGCGTTCTCTTAAGAAGCACGCACGTATATTATAATTTATAATTTACAAGAAAAAAGAGTTAACAATTTTACATTATTAACTATGTAGTTTGTAACTTATGTTATTCCAATTTTTTTTCTTTGTCAATATCGCTCATCATGGTTTAGTTTAGTTTCATAATGGTAAAAGAATACGTAATACCGCATAGATTTTATGACATAGTTATATAAATATAGTAAAAATAAAATTACATTTATGCAATAGTTCAGACGAATTATATTGTAATAAATTATTATTATTTTCCAATGATGTATATATGAGTCTTAAATCTAATAAGAATAATTTTGCTCTTCTATTTTTTTACTACTTCTATTTTTTTACAATTATTACAGTTACGAATCCTTTGATGAGAAATTTTAGCCTCCAAACGATAAACGAGCACAGTGTATCTAATTCGCCAAGTAACCTAACCTGCCATTTTAGATTCTGACCGGAGCGAGGAAGCTAGTTTTTTACAATGGTGTTTATTTTTTTTTTTTTTTATCCTGTATACACAATTTTTACCAGAAGGGAGTGCTTTGATTTCAACATGTAGTATAGTAGCTTATCTTTTAGAAAATTGGATCAAGATGGTACTGTAAAGTAGATCATTTTTCGATTTTCTCAATAGTTATTTAATGCCACGGGGAAAAACCACCAACAAATCACGAAAAACCGCTAAAAATGGGATTTTAATTTCTAATGCTTTGTTTATCACCATAGAAATTAATAAAAAATTATAATATTATAATATATTAATTCACCTTGTAGGCTATAATAAATAATAACAGTATAAAATATCCAGACTGACAAACCATCTCCCCTCAGAATCATTTTTCTTATACAATATTACAATAATATTATTTCATTGAATTAAACTTTAATACAATCCATTATACATTGGCCCACTTGTACAGCAGAGTGACTTTCACTAACCCTCTTTTTTAATTTAATAATTTAAGAATGTAATCAACCACTGGTTTTTAGAATTTTGAAATATAGGTACCTACTTACATTGTACATTTCAGTGGCGTGGCGTGGGTATTAAAAAGATGTAAGCAGTGAATTTTTTTTTTCAAAAGTGATTAGAATATAGGTACTATACCTAAATACCTAATTATAAATTATGTATAAAAAAAATGTAATAAAGAGAAAATAAAGAAATTGAAGTATAAATACTTCAAAAGTCTATAAGGCGAATGACAGTGACAGTGTACGTAAAAACGACTACAGTCTACAACGCGTCGGGCTACGTACGGTCGCTCCTATTGTTTCTCGCGTAAGCAAAATCAAATGTGCTTACAAACGCTAGTTAAATACGTGACCCCCACTATGGCATTATAGACTATTCGAAAACAACAGCTGCCCGTAAGCAATTTCAGAATGTGTTACACTGTATATTATCGTATTATGATTATGCAGTTAACATAATACAGAATGGATTAAAAATAGACCTACAATCGATGATTTTCTTAAAATAGTTGGTAATCAGTAGACAGCGTACGACACAAATAAACAATAACAAAAACCACTACCAGCTATAACTTAAATATTGTATAAATAAAATTAAAATTTTAAAAATCATTTATTATGTACCTATTAGTCGTGATTGATCAAATTTATTTTTTCTTTCATTTAAAGTGTAAGCAGTGCTTACAGTGCTTACATGCACGCTACGCCCCTGGTACATTTTCAAATTCTTGAGATTTCTGACTGAGGTATCTAGACCAGTCATGAATTATTGATGATTACTTTACATTTATAATAGTGTATAATATATACTATATAATATGCGTTTTTCTATACAATAAGTAAGTATTCACTTAATATACTTATCTACCTGAAAGTAAATAGTATTATAGCTTAAATAATTTCAATCATGCGTAGGTATAGTTCATATACTTAAATAATTAATTCAGTTGTGTTCTTTATAAGACGATTTTGTGGTCTTTCTATGAACATCAAAGTTTGATGATATTAACAACCTTGACAAATGTAATATATTTTAGTTATTTATTAATACACATCGCATATACCACATATACGTCAACGATGACCGCATTATTCAGGTGCAGCTAACCCTTTTTTAGTTTGTTAAATTTTTAAAAACTTCGTCTACTGTTTAAAAGTGTAGGTCAATCATTAATAATACACAAATGCGTAGGTGCTGTAAAAATGTATAATTAAAATTGTAGTTGCATAATTATTATGTTATACCTTCTTTTGTGCACGACATGGGTAATACTGAGAATCCAAGGTAAAATGACACAGAATAGTTTAAATATATAATATAATGTATAATGTCATGACAATTATTATTTGAAAATTTTTAAATATTTATCCATCATGCATAAATAAGTCGAGGATACACCAATAAATAAGTTATGGGTTTTCTATTGGTTCCTTCTTCCTTATACCTAGTTAATTTAATACAAACGAGTAACGACGGACCACTCGGCACTCAAAAGAACGACGTGCAAGTAGACAGTTTACACTTACCGATCTCTGTACGTATTTCACGTTTCTCTCATAAAACTTCAATATATATTTTTATTTATGTACCTAGGTAATATACAATATGTTCACATACATTTGAAGACGTTAAAAGTCTCATAAACTATATCAGTTTTTTTTAAAAATAAGTATTTGATCACCTAGAGTCTAGGTACATAGGTCCTAGACAATATTGTTTTATGTACGAGTACAACTGTATGTACCTATGTAAAATAAGGATACCATTGGCATAACATAATTTATTTTAAAGGTTTGTTTTGGCACAACTAACGTGCCATGTATATAATATTTACAAAAATTAAATATTTAATGTGATGCTTAGTGTTTTGTATTATGTTTGTCAACCAGACGACCGGCAGAAGATATACATTACAATATTATATATTATAACTTATAAGTATACCAATATTAAAATTCTTCATCAGTCATAATAATATTATCACGATGGACATTTGGAACGAAAACAATCATGTCTTCAACATTAGATTGGCAAACCTTACAGGATTGTTTCAAATATTGAATCCCGGATCCATTAAATTTCTTGGCCAAAATGTGTACCACATTGTAGTGGCAATCTTTATGCTTTTTGTGTGTGTCATCTCGATGGTCTTGATCGCTAGTGGTCTGTACTATTGGTCAGACAGTATTCTTATAGGCGTAGATTATGGTTGGAAAGGAATAACCGGGTTGTTCCTAACGTACAAGTTGTGGAAAGTCGTCTACCACTCTAACGACATATGGGACTGTTTGATGATCACGCGGTACAATTTTACAGCGCATAGCCTCCAGAACAGACAAATTTTGGATCGTTGGCGAGAACGGTCGGTGTGGATCACGAACACGATGGTCATCGCGTATTGGACGCAGGGACTGGAACCGTACCGAAATTGACCGGTTAAAGACCGAAACCTTTTGAAAAACTTGGGACCGAAACCGGACCGGAACCCTTAAATACATTTTTTTAGTAACCGAAACCGAAACCGAAACCTTTATTTTGATGTAGAGGTTTTTACGGTTTTTTTCGGTTATTTTCAGTTCTAAAATCCAATAGATATTTTATAGTGCGAACATAAATATACACTTATTGTTATTTGTTATTACACATCTGATCAAGAATCAAGATACTCCCTCTATCTATTATTAAAATATCTATTATTAAAATAAACTAATACTATTTTTACAAACAATTATTATCGTACCAACGAAAATAATATGATATTAATATATTATCAATAACACAGCTGTGTTATTGATATCGTCGTCGGAGTCGTTAATAATAATTAATACCGCTAAAAATAGCTACACATAATGTTTACTCTTTACTCTATGCTCTGTACGACACTACGACTTATTGCCGTCTACTGAATGGTTTCCCGTCTCCGTTACCGTTACCGTTACTGATTAATTAATGTTTATTGTTAAAAACTAAAATTTATATTTTTATAAGGTGTAAACTAAAAGTATAGAGTATAAATTGAAATATGGGTCGCCCAAGTGTGTCGACAATTCATTCGTATTTTATATTTAATAAAAGTTTAAACGAATCGGCGTGCAAAAATTGCGAATGCAAAATAAAAGTAAGTACCTACCTACAAAATTACTACTAAATTATAATAAATGTAACATAAAAGAAATTGTTGTAGGTACTAAGTGATTAGTACCTAGGTATCTTAGGTACCTAGCTATAATAGTATAATATAGTATAAACTACATTTTTTTTACAACTGAGTTTAGCTACTTACATTTATAGGAACCTACTTACATCATACATTCTTACGTTTTAATTTAATTTAATTATTAATTATTTCATAATGCATAATATATATGTTATGTTGGATTTTATATTTAAATTCTTTCAAGTTTGCACTCCACATAAAAATCTTGAAGTAAATACTACTTAGTACTTATTACTATTAGATTTAAGAATTTTGCAAATAGAAAAATAATTTTTTAGCATAATGTATCTATTTATGTGATTGATTATGGTAGGCTCCTTACCACACATTCGTTAGATTAGTTTGGTGACAAATTAATAGTTAACGGTTGTCGGTTACTACAAAAAATTAGCCGGTGGTAAAATATTTCCACTAGATATTCGTTTGACAATAATAGCTAACCAAAATAATTATTTTATCATTATATAGAGTAAAGAATATTATATGTATTAGGTATTCTAGTATATTTTTTATATTGTTTTTTTTTTTATATTATAATAGGGAAAACATGGCACGAATCTAAAACGTCATCTTGCTTCCCACCATGATGAATTGCATGAAGAATATATGTCGAAAGAATTGGAAAAAAATAATTGTTCAAAAAAAGTTACAAAAAAGGAATCACAAGTTAAGCTATTCAACTTTTTAGTACCCAAAGTTAATGTACAACTCAATAAAAAGATAATATTAGATGCGTGTATTGATCTTGTGACAGTCAATGGACGTCCGTTCACCATGTTAAACGATACTGGCTTTCGTAAAATACTGGATCCTGTTTTAAATGGACTTCAGGAGAAAAAATTTACAATCAACTCTTACTCGATTAAGTATGAATAATCAATAATGACATTTTTTTAATTATGTTGGCACAGTATATAGGTAATCAATAATCATATATTTTACATTTTTACCTCCTAGGAGACATGTACATGCAGAGTCGCTTCTCATACAAGATGAAATAGCTAATGAAGTTCAGTCCAAACTCATTTCACTCAAACTCGATGGTGTTACTAGACTAAATAGAGCTTTTTTAGGTATAAATATGCAGTATATAGTTGATGATTGTATTAAGCTCAGGACTTTAGGATTAGTAGAACTGACAGAATCCCATACAGGTAAATTTTAAATATTAAGACAATAGATACAATAATATTGTGAGTTGTGTGGTTTTCTTAAGTCTTTTACCTAATTAATTTCAGTTTATATTATAGTAGCCAGTAGGTACTTTACACTTTTACAGTTTAAGTGAAAATCATTGTTGAACTCATTGCAGGAACATATTTAAAAGAAACAATTCTTAATATTCTCAAAAAATTCAAAATTGAACAAAAACAATTGTATACGATCACTTCAGACAATGGTGCAAACATGTTAAAAGCAATAAACTTGGTCGAAGAAGAAATTTCAGCAACAGTTGCAGCTACAATAGAATTGAATAATGAGTTAAACAATGATAGTATTGAAGATACAGCTGATGTCAGTTCAGAATGTTCAGAATCTTATGATAGTAGTGACAGGCAAGACATTTTTTTCAAATCATAATAATATGTTTCATAGTTTCATTGTTTCATACCATCATTACCATCGTACAAAAATACCATTATATACTATAATAATATTAATAGGTACAATTTAATATTACTAGTATTTAAAAAAAATATATTGTGCCTAGGTATATTTATTTTTTAGTGCATCCCAGTATTATATATTATTATAATATATTTAGGTCATCATTTCTGTGAAAAATATTGTATCTATTCTTAAATATATATCTTAAGTTAGATTTCATCTTCTACAAAAGTAATTTCAATAGGTACACCATTTGTTATCAGTTATCTCTATAAGTTCTTGCTAATTTGGATCTTTATTACCTACCTATCATGGTATTTTTCTATCACAGTAAAATAAATTAAATAATATAAATTATACTTAACATATTATGTAGGTATAGTAAAATTATAGGAAAATTTGTAATACATGTAAAGTGTAAAATATATAAAGGTAATTTTTGACTATATTACCTAAATGAGAAAATTTTCTTTTCTTTTTGTTATTTCTGAAAAAGTTAGGTAATTTTCAACATTAAAACAATCGTAACCATATAAATATTTTTAATAAGACCTTATTAACTGATTGAATAAATTACGTCAATTTCATATAGGTACACACAACCTACCCTTTGTAATGGAAATAATATAAATTATATTTTTAGAAACTAATAATTTATTAAAACTCCTGTTCATTTAGTACTGAAACTGCTCCAGTAACAATATTGGATGATGAACAAATAGCTAATTTGCTCAACGAAGATAGTGAATTCATTGATAAAGAGTATGAAAACACAGAACATGTATTAAATATAATTGAGTTAGCAAACCTTGGCGAGTGTTCAATTTTTAATGGTACGTTAATTAAATTATATTTTTACAAATGTATTATAAGAAACTGATATAAATACAATTTAATAGTAACTTAACTACTTAACATAATATGAATATATCAAGTGTTGACACCAAAACTTTGTTTATTTTTGTTATAGGTATTCGCTGTGTAGCTCACACATTACAATTAGCTGTTCTTGATACCTTGAAGCACAACAGTATAGATAAATTATTAAGCAAAGTTCGCATACTAGTTAGAAAGCTGCGCAACCAAACTTATATTTATTTGATCAAAAAGGAGCAATTAAAATTGCCAATTTTGGATTGCCTAACACGTTGGCACTCCACATTTGACATGCTAGAGAGATTACAACATCTAAAATCATTTATCCAAAATATGGCAGCAAATGACCCTAAGCTGAGAAAAGTTGAGTTGAGTCATTTAGAATGGCAACAAGTAGACATATTATTTACAACTCTTTTACCCGCAAAAATTTGTACTAAAAAATTGCAATATGAGCAATTGACTCTTACTGATTTTTATGGAGCTTGGATTGCTTGTAGAATCGAAACAGAATCCTTGAACAATACATTTTCTAATAAGTTGGTACAGTGTTTGAGATCTAGGGAACTAAATATTATGAACAACCAAGTTCTTCTAGCAGCAATTTTCTTAGACCCCCGATTCAACATAACATTGACAGAATATCAATGTAATATTGCTATTACACATTTAATAAATATTTGGTTTCACATAAAAGAACTTGAAAGGATTCAAGTTGATTCTAACAATGATAATATAGAAAATGAAAATAGTATTAATGAAAGTTTGACTAATAATTATGATACAGATATACTTGAAGATTTTCTGAAACAGAAAGAAAGTGATAACCAGTGCAGTTCAATTTCAAGTTCAACTTCAAGCCAACAAAATTCTCAAAATTCACTTTCAACAAAAATGGAAACTTTATTAAAAACATACAAATTAGATGAAAAGAGATTAAGCCACAAGACAAATATTCTAGAGTACTGGAAGACAATGAAGACAAAATACCCAGAAATTTATCAGCTGGCACAAATAGTTTTTTCTGTTCCGGCAACCCAGGTCAGCGTTGAGCGCCTTTTTTCAGGCTTAAAATTTATACTATCGCCGTATAGATGCAATATAACACCTGCACACCTAGAAGACCAATTACTAGTTAGGACAAATAGATTATTTGAAAAAAATTATAAAAAAAAAATTTCTCAAGTGTAAATTATTAGTTGAACATAATATATTTTGAATATTATATTGATAATTTATATTAAAATGTAATAATTAACTTAAGCTTAACACATATTATCATATATGCATTTTGTACCTATTCCTCTCCTTAATTATAATATATTATAGTAAAGTAATTTATTTATAATAAGGTTGATTATCTTACCAGTATATTATAATTATAATATTTATATTTTGTATGTTTGTCTATTGGTTAAAAATTTAAATATTATTAACTATCAACTGACAAAATAGGTATGTACCTCGTGGATATCTAGTTATGTTTTAAATATATTATTATTTAGGTTTTGTTTGCTAATAATGTTTTTTGAATTCTTACAATGTTTAGAATTCAATGGTGTAGTGAAACTTCCATAAACATTCAGTAAATTATTGAATATAATAGAATATTTTTTATAGTTTTAAATTTTTAATGTTAAGATTATATTGTAATGATATTATATTAGCTAAATTCTTAAATAGGTACACTTAATTATAAATAGGTACCTACCAATCATTAAATAGAAGTTTTTAATATATTAATTTTTTCATACAGAACTTAATTGATAAAAATAAAATAAAAAGCAAAAATCAAATAATAAGGGTTAAAACCGGTATTAACCGAAACCGAAACCGAAACCGAAATTTGATATTTTTGAAAACCGAAACCAGAACCGAAACCGAAATTTTGGATTTTTGAGAACCGAAACTGAAACCGAAACCCATAAAATCATAAAGGTTCCAGTCCCTGATTGGACGTCAGTGGTGCTTTTAGTGAGCAGTTCTCTGATGTTCCGTCACGATACATTGACGGTCAAAAATCCCGACGGTTCGGTCGGCAATTACCGGCAGAACTTAATAAATTTGTATTTCATAGCAACTGACGAAACTTACAACGCTCACTACAACACGTTTTACTTCATCGAGATATTGTTCACCGTCATCATATGGCAACAATGTTCACCGCATTCGATGTTCTTCTAGTGACACTGTGCCTGGCCACATCTTGCCAGTTTCAAGTGGTTAACGCCAAGTTTGCGTCTGCCGGATATACATCGCTCTGTGACCCTCACCTTGTTGGTGAGTATATGGACTGTCTGGTGTATAAGTACGTATAATAAGTGAATACTTACGTATAATGTATATAAAAACACATAGGTACACTCTGATAAATGTAAAGTAATCATCAATAGGTAGGTCGTAGGTACTCATGACTGGTCTAATTAGGTACCTCATTTTTTTGACATATACTATGGAAAATTAATACACTTATTTAATTTATGCAAGTACATAGTTTTGATCTGTATTGAAATGGTTCACTCAAGTACTCAACACATCGACGCCATACACCCGCTATTTGACCGGTTTATAAAGTCGATTTTAATGACATGTTGAGAAGAAGTAAAATGTTACCTACTTAATACTTATATTAGTTATTAGCAGGACTTAAATCAAAAATAATAATACCGTTTAACGTTATATGTATATTAAACGTTATGATCGAATGACTGTTTAACGTTATAAAGAATTTAAACGTTATTCAATTTATGCGTTTAAACGTTATACAAATTTAAAGGTTATTTAACTTAAGCGTTTAAACGTTATGAAGCGTTTAGAGTTATCTGATGGATATAGCTTGTTTCCTACGCAAAACAGAAAGATTGAAAAATATAATATTACAAAAATAACCTTAATATATATTTTACTGATAGTTATAATTTTATAAATATTTTTTTTCAGGCAATTAAATGTTTCAATTGTTTATTGTTTCTGTTTCGTTATGTGTTATCCGTTTCAATCGAATATCGTTTACTGGTAGGTTAACTGTTATTCGTTTCAATCGTTTATCGTTAACCGATATATGTTATCCGTTATCGATTTCAATCGTTTTTTGAATTGTTTAACGTTATACTCATAACGTTATAAAAACGTTTTGAACCCCTGGTTATTAGTAATTAATATTCTGTATTCGGTTATAAATATATATAAAATTCACTAATTCATTTATATAAGTAGCCTATGTTAGTATTTTACTGTAGGGACCGATGTTACTTCCCAGTTTTATAAATATTTTTGAATTATTATTAAAATACGAATAATAGAAACAGACAAGTTATAATCACCGTCGTCCGCTATACGATCATCTGAAATTAATATAAATAACAAATAATAATATACTCTGTTCAGCGAGAGATCATGTACCTACGAAAACTGGTTCCCCCACTCAACACCCTGCTATTGGTGAACCGGTTTCGATAGCAAGGTGACGCGGAGGGAAGCGCAGAGTCGACGTGCTCTCACGCTGAACAGAGTATGATTCACATTGACATATTATTATTATCCTGATATTCATCACAATTGATAAGTCCGAAAAGAAAATACGTGAGATGCTATTGGTGATACACAACATGACGTAATAAATTATGACGAAAATAAACATATCATACAGGTATATATATATTTTTTAGGAATTAGTTATTTTAATTTTAATTTCTATAATCATCTGTAATTTATCTAGATAAAATATTTTTCTTTTATCTTTTGTTGGATGATTTCGATTTGTTTATTTTGTATCTGTATCTTAGATAAAATTTAGTGTTGTTATCTTTATCGGCTCTATCCAGATGATATTTTTGTTATCTGTTCCTAACACTGTAAAATGTATATCAACAGATTTGGTTGTTGTTGAATAACGAGATTATATATTATAGAAAACGTTTTCACGCAGGACATCCTTATAAGTTATAAGTATTATTTACGGTTGGTTTACCAAACATTCACTCTACACTGAAAATTACTTTCTCTGAAATTTTTTTTTTTTATTCTTGTTCTTAATTAACATTGGCGACATTGGCCATTATATAGTTACTATTTTTTTTTTGTTAAATTAAGTTATA